TCGACCGAGGGCCAATTCTCTCTCCTCTTGAGCTGGGACGCCCATCTTTTCCTGCCCTGTACATTGGAGCTCCTGCTTCTCAGGCCTCCGCGCTCTGGCAGTTCCACTGTCACTGTCCTGGTTTTCAGGGCTTTAAACTCACACGGAATTATGCTTCCGGCTTCTCCAGCTTGCAGACAGCAGACTGGGGGGCTTCACAGCCTCCACAACCATAGGGACCAATTCCTGTAATAAATCTCTTCACGCATCTCTACATATTGGTTCTGTTTCTCTGGAGAACCCTCACTAATGCAGAAGGAAAATGAACAAATACAGGAAGTAAAAGATATCAAATTCATTTTATATAACTCAAAAGTTATTTTCATTTGGCCTTTTCTTAGCACCCCAAGTGTAGGGGTATGTAATTAGTGGAAATACTGTCCTTGACCCATTATGAGATGAGTTGCTAAGCCCAGATTACCAATGCAGGTTTATAACAGCAAAAGGCAGAAACAGGTCTGCTGGGTAGCTTGTAACTTCCTTACAGACCTACGGTTTACTTGCAAAACAAACCTGACGATAGCTGCACAGAATCTAGAGCATCACACAGCTGTTTTGACTACAACTTGTACAACTTGATCTCATTTCATTTGAGTCCTGGCATCACTGCCATCTGCTTCCACAAGGAAATGACCCCACAGGTTCTCGGGGTATACTGTTGTCCTTGCAGGGCTTGGAATAGAGGAGTGGTAGTGAGAATACCTGAAGCAGGTAGATCATCTGTGGGTTTAAAAGAAACCTCTTGCATGTCACCTTGGGATTAAAACTTTCACAATTGTGATGTCATGTTCATTCATAAACACTACTACATACCACAAACACTATAAGACGGCAGTGAATGACTCATATTGTTTAATGCCAGGCAAGTTCAAACAGAGAAAACGAAAACTGGGAATGGACATCAAGTGGTTCCAATACAAATGAGATTTCCTTTCTGAGGAGTATCAACCTGCGAGGTGACCTGCTCCGGTTAGGCAGATTGCCTGCCCTGGGGAAGCTACCCAGGCTTGCCTTAAAACTGGTAGCAAAGAGGTTCTGGTGTGGGTGACATGGAACAAATGAAGTAGAGATCGATAGTTTTTTCAAGAAGCTCTAAAGAGCATACACATATTGTAAGAACTTTGTAGAGTTTGAGAGGAAAAAACGGAAAACAATGTCACCAACAGACCATAACAGAAAATTAGAAATCAATCACAAAAAGCCAGTCAAAACTTCCAATAATTCATGAGTTGAAGAAGATAAAGTGAAATTGACAAAATAGCCAGGACCGGTTTGGCTCACTGGATAGAGCGTCCGCCTGCGGACTGAAAGGTCCCAGGTTCGATTCCGGGCAAGGGCATGTACCTTGGTTGCGGGCACATCCCCAGTAGGGGGTGTGCAAGAGGCAGCTGATCGATGATTCTCTCTCATCGATGTTTCTAACTATCTCTCTCCCTTCCTCTCTGTAAAAAAAAAAAATCAATAAAATACATTAAAGAACTGACTAGCCCTAACCAGTTTGGTTCAGTGGATAGAACATGGGCCTGCAGACTGCAAGGTCCCAGGTTTGATTCTGGTCAAGGGCATGTACCTTGGTTAAGGGCACAGCCCCAGTAGGAGGTGTGCAGGAGGCAGCTGATAGATGTTTCTCTCTTATTGATGTCTCCAACTCTCTATCCCTCTCCCTTCCTATCTATAAAAAAAAATCAATAAAAAATACTTTTTTAAAAAGAACTGAATATACATGTATTAAACAGGTAAATCCAGAAAATGGAAACTGTAGACATACTCCTAGAATGTTACTCTGTGTAAATACTTAAAATGTACTAAGAAGTAGTATTTTTTTAAAACATAAATGTACTAAAAGTACAAAAACATGGAGAGAAAGTCTCCTGGGCAAGAAAAAGAATGGAATAAAAAAGTGTACAAAAAAGCTTAATTAATAATATAAGATGTATATGTTACATTTACATATATATGTTAACGCTGGGTTAGGCCGTGTCAGATATTGGGCTCTATATTTTTCTATGCTTGAAATTTTGTGTCATTTACTACATGAAATCCTGCTCAGTTCTTTTACCTCTCAAAATGGTATTTTTCAAAATGTGTCCCTTCCACTTGTCACCACCTACTCCTCCTCCCCGCCCCCTAGCTTCAGGAATCTGCACTTGCGCATGAGAAAGCTATCGATTTTGAAGTAGGTTTAACTTTTGGTGGCCACTCAGTGAGGAAGAAATGCCTCATTCTGCCCCACTCACCCACCTTGCTCATTGTATTTCAGCCCCAGTCTAAAGAAGCTAACTCAAGAGGCCACAGGCTGTGTGATTCGGTTTACATTGCTAATGGGTCAATCACGAAGGCTCTATTTTAGAGAAATAACTGTACTCCGCATTCTCTCTCTGTAGTTAATTTGCAGAAAGAAGTTAAGCATTTCATTGTTTCAGCAATCCTCTTTTATGTCAGTAGAGGTACATTCTGTTCTGAAAACTAAGAAAAAAATGTCCTTTTAAACGTTACAGTTTTGTAAAATGGTTAAAAACATTTCCCACCAATTGAAACATAAAATTTTAAAGTGTTGCAGCCAGAGAATGATATTATCCCATTCTCATTTTAAGGATTTACATGATTCTATATCTACTAGAGGCCCAGTGCGTGACATTCATGCACTGGGTGGGAGGAGGTTCCTCAGCCCTGCAGGTGCCCTCTTGCAGCCCAGAACCCCTCAGGGGTGTTCGCCTGCCAGCAGGCAGACATCCCTCGCGCAGTCAGGGACCCCTAGCTCACCAGGAGAGGCTCCCACCACCTCTGCTGCCCTCACCGGCTGTGAGCCCAGCTTCTGGTTGAGGGGCGCTTCCCCTGGGGGAGCACACTGATCACCAGGGGGCAGCTCCTGCATTCAGCTCCCTGATGGGCAGTGAGCTTTATAGTGACCAGTCTTTCCACTGTTCAGTCGATTTGCATATTAGGGTTTTATAATATAGGGAAAATGTGGTTACAATATCTTAAATGAAGGACAGAAACTTTTAACAGTGGCCATCATGGAGATGTATGTGTTTCTTAGAAGAGAAGGTGGAGATATTTTTTGACGGTTCATTTTATATCTTTGATCTGTTACAATCTCTTGCTGCGCATATTGATTACGTTTGTAGTCTACACCAGTGGTCGGCAAACTCATTAGTCAACAGAGCGGCAAATTGTGCCTCACAAGCTGCAGTTTGCCAACCACTGTTCTACACTGTAAAGCCCCTTGGATGTTTAAACAATCCTGAAATTGAGTTGTTACGTACAATCAATATGTCACAGTTTAATTGACAGCATTTTTTCTTACTTGTGGTACATAAATGAAAAAGGTGAGTCTTTAAATTTTGGCTTTTTTTTTTTTTTTCAACCAATGCGGTCTTAAGATTGATGAAAATAGTATCCATTAATAGAGACTGGAGAAATACACCATTTTAATGGTTTCGATCTCCTGGGAGCATTGAATGAGGGAACTTTTGAAGCAGCATTCTATCATTGGGTTATACAGTCACCTATTGAGCTACTATATACACCATAAGGCGCTGTGCTCTAAGGAAGAGGGGGACATGGGGAGCATCTTCGCTGTATTTTCTTCACTGGTTTCCGTGTCAGGGCTCGTGGGGAATGACACTCTCCGTGGGAAATTCCCTTTCTAAAACGCTTAGAAATCTGATCAGTGACACAGTGCAGTTTATCAGCCACGGGGTGCAGAACACACTCGCATGCACATCTACGAGGAGAAGGGCTGCGGTGAACCTTCCCAGAAGCGACGGGTGGAGGGACCCACTTCCCGCCGCTGCGGTCGGAGCCGCTCACCAGAGATGCTCTCTAAGCAAAACAAGCAGCGGCTCCTCCCCGCGGGCCTGGGCCCCGACGGGGCAACGGGGAGTCCCTGCCCTGTGACCTGAAATGGGCCCAATTCTATTAAATCCATGAAAGATGGTCCTGGAAAATGGACCCTTTGTCCTCTGGGCATCCGTCTCGCAGGCCAGGGGAAGGGGGGTGCCAGGCCGGCTCTTCCCCTGGGAAAGGCTGCGCAGGTGCTTCTAACGGGGTGGGGGGCAAAGGCTCTGTCCTGCGAGCGGGAGGGAGCGGAGGTGCCCTCGCCGTCCCGGCGCCCGCGAAGTAAGTGCTCTGCGTATGGAACGGAACTTCACCGAATCCTGGGGGCAAGCTTGCCACGCCAGTATAAACCCTGGCTGACATCCGCTATTCCTAAATTACAAAAACATGAGTCCCTTTCAGATTGTCAATTAGATGGAGAAGTTTCAAGCGGGCCGCGGCGCTCGGCCCGGGGTCCGGCGCTCTGCGCGGGCCGAAGGGGCAGCGCCCTGGGGCGCCCTCCGGACACCTCGGGAGCGCACGGCTCTGCTCCCCGGAGGATCCGGGGAGACCCAGGGACAGCCGCCCAGGCCGCGGGGCCCTCTTCCAAGGCCCCGCCAGACTGAGTCACTGATTTTCCGCGAGTCAAAGGCTCCCAGAGGGAAAGATGTCTGGTTTGGTTCCCCACGTCGGGCCGTGGCCGGCAGGCAGCCCGGGCGGGAGGGCGGGGAAGACCCGGCTCCTGGCGCCGCTGGGCGGGGCTTGGGGCAGGGGGCCGGCGCGATCGGGCTGGGTCGCCCAGCCCCAAAGGCGGCGGGGCCTCTGCTGAGCGGACCCGTGAGGAGCGGGGTCCGACGGCCACGTCGAGGCGCACACTGGGCGCCGGGGGGCGCCCTTCCCGCTCGCGCAGCTCGGCGCCCGCGCCCCGCCCCTCCGCGCCCCGCGCCCTCTTAGAGCCGCACACCGGCCGCCGATCGAGCAGCGGGGCGACGCCGAGCCTCCTCTTCTCACCGCGGGGAGCGTCCTGCCGGTCGCCCGCACCTCCGCGGCGGGCCCGGGCGGGAGGAGGGAGCGTGCGGAGCTCGAGCCTCCGGGAGGCGGCCCCGGCCCCGGAGCGCCGCGCGGTGCGCTGAGCCCGGACAATGGGGCCGCGGCGGCTGCTGCTCGTGGCGGCGGGGCTGAGCCTGTGCGGTCCCCTGCTGTCCGCCCGCGCCCCAGGCCGCAAGCCAGGTGAGAGCTGGGGGAGGGGGGGGGGTCCTCCTGCCGCCTCGGGCCACGCAGCCCGGGGCCTCCTGGGGCATCGGGAGGGCGGGCGGGCAGGCGGCGGGAAGCAGCCGGGAGACCAAGTGGGTACAGGTGGCGCCATCTCCTAGAGGGGGGTGCCCCCACGGCACCCTCAGCCTCAGTTTCCTTCAGAAGCCAGGCAGGCGTTTGAGCTGAGGTCCAGATTCTCCCCCGTCTTATCCGGGCGGGGTGTGCGGGCTCAGCGGAAACCCCTGGGCACCGGGCTCTGGAGGGCGCACCGGCCTGCGAGCTGGGCGCTGGGTACGGGGGCGGAGGGGGCCGGATCGGCTTCATTGCATTTGTGGTCAGTGTTCCTCCCAGGACCACACCCAAAAGAAAGTCTCCCGTGGCCCCAATAAACTCTGGCCTTTTCAGTATAAAGTGGAGGAGACCCGCCTCCGCTGACGTTTAGTTGTGTTGGGATTGTTTTTCTTGAACGTTTCACAGGTGAGGGAAATGGTGTGGAGGAAAGCTTGGCACGTTGAGTAGAAAGTCAGTGCCAGCAGCCCCTGGCGCCGGCCTGGGGTGCGCTAACAGCCCGTGTCCAGGTGGGATGGTTTGTGACTAGTCCCCCGGGGGGAGTGGAGAAAAGAGATCAAAACTCGGCTCTGCCAGACACCGTGGAACCTCAGTATTTCAGCTTCTGGTCTGCTCAGGGTGGAGGTTGCTCACTAGAATACATTTACCAGGAGGAGTGTGTTTTTAAGTATCTGGCCACTTGACCAAATAAAGTATTTTCCAACCTCTTCCCCCTAAAAGAGCAGGGCAGAGAAGTTGTTTGTAGCCTGTAAAGACACTATTATAGTTACAAAGTGAAAAGAAAAAAAGAAGATGTTGTAATGTCTTTGTAATAATAGTGCTTTGTAAGCCTTTAGCCACTTTTATTCACGCACAAATTCTGGCTGGTTTGCTTATCTGTGAAAGAGTGTGCACTCATTGTTTCCACAATAGAAACAGTGTAGCGGCATCAAGATGAAGAGGTGACAGCATTTTTCTCCGGGCTCCGTCTTTGCTCAGAGTAAAATTGAGGTGATGCTTTTAGGAAAAGTCAGAGTCCCAGATAGGAGCCCAGAGTTTTGCAGCAACTGGCCGGCCTACCTGCGGATAGCATGAGCATGATCTCTTGGAGTGTTTGGAGAAACAGTGAGAGCTGGAAATTTTGTGCATGCTGATTGTGATGCCAGAGAGCACTTTAGTCATTTCATTTGGGGACAGGCTCTCGTCACCTTTCCTTAGGGTGGGAGACGTTTGGCCCGTTAGGGAGTGAAGGTGAGGCATGTTTCTGCCATGCCTCTTGCTTTCTCATCACCTCAGATGGCCATGCTAATAAGACGCCCAGTGCTGATGTAGACAGAAAGATAACCAAGCAAACATTGGCTGAGTTATCTACTGGGTCTGGAACCAATGTGGGGAGGAAAAGAAGAAAGGAGGATGACAGAAGAAGAGGAACACGTGTGAAGGGCCATATTCTGTGTCACACCCCGGGACAGGAGGCATTTTTACTTCAAATTATCTCATTTCACCTTCTCAGCGCGCACCGTTAGGGGGGAGTATATCCCCATTTGCCAGTTCTGAAAGGAAGGCTCAGAGACAGTATACGGAAATTCCAAATGGAAGACGGGGCCCTGGGCGCAGGCAGTAAGTGGGGCCTTGACTTGAGAGAGTTTGGAATCACTAAAGGTCTGCCTTTTATCCTCTCTGTATGTTGGCAATTCTAAACAATACCTCTGTGAGACCTCAGCCTTAGAACCCTCTCCCCGCACCCCCCACAACCAGAACCCTCCCCCCACAACCCCACCCCCGCTGGCTTTGTGCACCAGTTTGAGCCTTGAGGAACCACTGTCCCACTTTCTGTCCCCACTCCTTTGGGCATTTCCTGCACTGTCACTGTGGGCCAGTCCTCTCCCTGGCCAAGATCATGAACTGCCACTTATCCCCATGGAGCCGGGGACACATGTTCACTCAGCAGATAGTTACTGAGAAATATTTACGTTCATAACCAACCAGTTTACATTCCTTAGTCCAGACCATTTAGGCGAGATGACTTGCCTTCATCAGCGAGGACCAGTGTCCAAAAGGTGATGTTTGTAAATTTTATAAGGGCCTAGAGGGTAGAAAGGTTCAAGAATGACTCATGGTGACTGTCACAGAGGGGATTGGGTGGGAGCATCCACTTGCTGCCCCCCTGCCCACAGGGTCAAACCCAATTTCTTAGCCCAGAGTGAGGCCCCTCCCCTTGCAAGATGGGCCCCAGCCTCTGCCCAGCCTTATTACAGATCCTCTCCTATGACATACCTGTGACATTCCCTGCACTTCATCCAACCCTCTTTCTAGTTCCTTCCCCAAGAGCTATGCTGAGGCAATTTTTCTCTTTTTCATGTCCAGCATGGCTAGAGTACAATCCGGTTCCTGAGAAGGATGGCTGGGGGTTGAGAAAATGAAAGAAAGAGACAGAGATAGAAGGAAAGAGCTGGGGCCCGGTGAGATCACTATCTTCTGATAGAGATGAGGACTCTGAGCTGAGCCAATACGGTGTGTTTATTTTATACAACAAACAGGAAGTTTTACTAAAAGTCAAGGCAAAGGAGATTATGGGCATTCTGGAGTGGGCCTGGGTCGCATTCATTCCTGGTGCTTGCCTGGATTTAAATAAAACCCACCCCCTGGCACCTGGGCTGAAGGTTAATGACAAACTCCTGCCTTTTGGCCAAGCGTGTTTCCGGGAAATGCCCCTGTGCCTTCCCAGGTGCTCTCTACACTGTGCTTTCTAAGGCTTCTGCTGGCCTGCCACTCTCTCTGGCCAGAATGCCCTCCCCACATCTTCTCATTAATTTAAAACAGCTACCTTATATCAAGAATGCATTTCAGCCAACCTGTGCTTAGGTGTACATTACATATCCTATCGTATTTATTCCTCATAACAACCCTTTGAATGAGTGTCATTCCCTTTCTGCAGGTAAAGAAACTGAGACCCAGAATGGTTAAGTCACGAGTTTAGTTAGAAGGGGAACTGGGATTTGACCACAGGCCTCTCTTAAATGCAAGCTTTCTCTACCACCCCCTATAGAGAGAGAGCTTTTCAGACCAGAAGCCCCTCTTCCAATAGAGAAGCAACTCCACTGTGCTCCCCAGTCCCCCTAGAAGGCAAAGACTGGGCCCCACTGACCAGGCCTACCACATGGAGGTGTTTAGTAAACATTTATGCTCGGACTGCGGTGTCCTGCCATTTGACTTAAAAAGAAAAAACAGCTGACAAACAGGCTACAAATGGATCCCTAGCATGAATATACCAATTAATTGACTGTTACTGAGAGAGTGTGGTCTTAAGCCCCAACAAAAGACACAAAACTGGCCCTGGCCAGTGTAGCTCAGTCGGTTAATGCACCAAAGGGTCACTGGTTTGCAACAGTTTGACTCCTGGTCAGGGCACATACTGTTCTTTCTCCTTCTCCCTCTCCCCCCACCTCTAAAAAGAAAAAGGGGGGGGGGGGGGAAGGACACAAATCGATAGCGATTCTGCTTCAAGTAGACCAGAAACCTCTGAAAGTCAAATTTCTCATTAACCAGCAAGTAATTCTCTAATATTTATCTAAACTCTTCCTTCCCTCTCTCTCTTTTTTCCTTCCTTATCCCCCATGTTCATTGATTCATTCATTCACTCCTTGGTGGTTTTGGCTTTATTTTTATAGAACATTCTAAAACAGTAGGTTCTCTCCTAATTTGTCCACTCTTCCTTGATGTAAAGGCATTTTTGAGGCATTTCATGTTGTCTCTGCTGGCTACCGTTCTACCCCTCCATCTTTCTAACTCAGCATTTCTCAGTTTTTTATGTCTAAAAGGAGCAGTGTGGCCCTAGCCGGTGTGGCTCAGTGGATAGAGCATAAGCCTCTGGATTGAAGAGTCCTAGGTTTGATTCTGATCAAGGGCATATGCCCGGGTTGCAGGCTTGATCTCCAGTAGGGGGTGTGCAGGAGGCAGCCTTTCAATGATTCTCTCTCATCATTGATATTATATATATAATAAATAAAAGGACCAGTGTGCTGTGACCCTAACTTACAGCTTTTCAGCAGCTCTGAATCTGCTCCTTTCCAAAGTGCTTCTATCCAGTCTCCTTCCCTGTGCCCCTCCCCCTCCCACCTCAATCAGCTCATCCCTTGTCACCCTCACAGACTGGAACTCAGTGGAGCCTGGAGCTGGAGTTCCACAGAGACAGTGGAGTCACCAGCACCTTGTGTTCCTAATCTTCCTACTCCTCATGTTGGACACACATCCTCCCCCCCACCCCTTGAAATTTTCTCTCTTTCTCTTTTTCTTTCTTCTTTAAATCGAGGTAAAATTTGCAAAGCATAAAATGAACCATTTTTAAGTATACAATTTTGTGGTGGTTATGCATTTGCAATGTTATGCAACTGTCACCTCCGTCTAGTTCCAAACCATTTTCATCACCCCAAAAGGAAAAACCCTGAACCCATCTCTCTCCCTAGCAACCACCCGTTTGCTGTTTATCCCTGAGGGTTTTCCCTCGGCTCCATGTTTCATATAAATGGATTCCTACAGCGCGTGGCCTTTTGTGTCTGGGGAACTGCCCTTTCACTAGTTTTCCTGAGAGCCTGGGCTCCCCCTCAGCTCCTGGACACTCACACAAACTCCTACAAGTCATTAGGAACCACGGCCTTAGTTTATTTTTGACCATGATGCTGGGATTGAGGAGACCGCAGTTTTAACATTCAGTTTTCTGGTTTTGTTTGGTTTGGTTTTGTTCTGTTTTTCCTATTTGTGGTTTCTTTCATTCTGCCTTTTGCCCTTTTTTCTTAGTACTACCAGGGCTGGGGAACCTTTTTTCTGCCAAGTGCCATTTGGATATTTACAACATCATTTATGGGCCCTACAAAATTACCAACTTAAAAATTAACCCACTTTTTTGGTCAGGCGTTTAATTAACTCAC